CTTATTGGTATTCCAAGTTGTACTGATGCAGGAGTTTATTTTGTTGAATTATTACAAAATTATGCAGGTAAAAAAAAAAGAAATCTTCTTCAATATTTATTAGGAAAATAAAAACAATCACTTATATTTAGCATTTTATTCAATTATTATTGCCGTCTTTTTTGAAGCCATAGCTGTATCATGGCTTTATGGAATCGAACGTATAAGTGAAGATGTTAACCAAATGCTTGGATCAAAACCAGGAAGATTTTGGCTTGGAACATGGTGTATTGCTGCACCTGTTTTTCTGGGAGTAAAAGTTTTTTTTTTTTGTTAAATTAGATGTTTAGAGTGCTTCTTTTTTAAGGGTATTATTCTTTCGGGTTTAATCCATTATATTAATCCGACATATGGAAAATTAACTGATCCATTTTATTATAAGGTTTTGGATCTCTTTTTTGTTCTTTTATTAATCGAAATGATTCATGTGTTAATTTAATTTAGTATCCCGATTGGAGTCATTTACTTGGTTGGATGTTTGCATTATCATCGATTATATTTATACCAGCTGTTGCTATTTATCAATTATTAATTGAACAAGGAAGTTTTACAACGGTAAAAAAATAAATAAATTGATATAATTAAAAGAATATATTTTTTTCTTACAATTTTCTTTTTTAAACAGAGATTTCGTTTGGCAATAACACCATGGAAAGATCGACAAAGAAATCAAAATCCTGATATAATTATTAGTACAAATCATGTATTGAAAAAATGTATTACTGAAGAGGCAACTTAACAACTATTTTTCTATAGTGTTTTGTCTATTCAAACTTTATAATTGTCTTTTTTTTTTTCTTATCCTTCTTTTTATCTGTTGTTTGTATACGCGTTTATTTCGCCCCTTCGAACACAAATTCTCTCTCTCGTTTCACATTAGCATATTTTACTTTGGCAAGGTCATTTGAATACATTGTTCTCTTGTATTTTCAAAGAAAATTTGCACCTAAATTCTTTCTTTTCTATTCTCAAACAAAAACGATCAAATCCTTATCTAAGGTCATCACTCGTTTGTTTGATTACTTATGTCATCTATCTCAATCAAACAAGCGTCTTGTATCATTTTCAACTATGTTGACATTTGAACAGGATCAACTTTCGTATACATATTCTGTTGATCTACCTACTTTGCATAAGAAAAAAAGATCGATCATCCTTATCATTAATATCACTTGAGAAAAGAAAGGTCTGTTGAATAGGAGTTGTTCTATTCAATCATGAAGGTAAGCAAGAAGAGTATACGATAATTGTGATATAGTAATATTATTTAGACTCTTTTGTTTATTATTTTTCTTCATTTAATTTATTCTTCTATCAATGCTGGTAAATGCCGATGATATCAACTGGTGTTTTTTTTCCTACTATTTTTTTTTCTTGTTCAAAGAATTTTGTCAGACGGACGATTGTCGTAGTGGTGATTGTGAATTATTACGTCTTTCCAATGGGTTAATAAAGAAAACTTGTCATTGTCCTAAAGTAAACTTCTTTTTTCTTTTTATGTTGATTAAGTTTTTTTTTGTCTTTAAAGGGTGTTTGTGGTGAAACATGTCAACGTTTATGTAATACAACTTCCCAATGTGATACGAATCCATGTTGGTTTGGTAGTACTTGTGTTGATGTAGCAAATTTTGATTATATTTGTTTATGTCCATCAAATCATTCTGGTAAAAATTGTCGCATATTAACTTCATGTCAAACAAATAGCTGTCATAATGGTGGTACATGTTTTGAAACTGGTTTGTAGACAAAAAAAAGCAAAAGATATTTATTTTAGAAAACATTTTTATTCAATATTTATTTTAGTTTATGGTGTACAATGTACTTGTCCAGAAGATTTTTCTGGTAATTATTGTGAACATAAAATAATGAAATTAAAACCAGAATCTACCGATAATTTACCACGTGTTGAATATAAACAATTTGATGCTGAAACATTAGCTGTTATTGCTAATTTAGGAAGTTCATTAAATGAAAATACTCCACGAACGAATAGTTTAAGTAATAGTGTAACCGTAGCTACGAGTAATCGTTCACAATTTGTTTTTTGTTTAACAAATCCATGCGAAAATGACGGAACTTGTTTTGTAACAAATACGGCAACGACAAAAGTTAGATTATAGAAATAGTTATTTTGTTGTTCGAAGATAAGACTGTTTGGTTTTCTCTTTTGTCAATAGGGAATTTGTGTTTGTCGCGATGGATATAATGGTGATTATTGTGAAAATCCATATAACAATGTATCAATTGCTGTTAAAGTACCAATTGGATATTGCTCATCAAGTCCGTGTTTAAACGATGGAACTTGTGTAGAAGCAGGAGGTTTTCAAGGTTATTGTCGATGTACAGTAGAATATCGAGGTCTTTATTGTGAAATATCTGTACGACCTGTTAGTTGTATTCCAAATCCTTGGTAAGAAATGATAAGTATGATTTTAAAACATGAATGTCATTTGTTTTTTTTAGTAAAAATGGTGGAACTTGTGTTTTATTAGAAGATAATCAAGGTAGAAAATGACATTTGCTATTTCCATTTTATTTTTAAGTTACTTTTTTCTTCGAATTTTTCTAGCACAATGTTTATGTACACCGGTATTTCGTGGTTTAACTTGTAATCAATTTAGTTATGTACCGTGTGGAGATGGTACTTGTCATGGTACACAGGTAGCAATGAAAAGAGATATTTTTAATTTAAATTAAATCATGATTATTTATCTAAGGGTACTTGTATCGCTGGTAAATGTTCTTGTAGAACGGGATTTGCCGGACCAAGATGTGATTCAGCAGATTTTTGTGCAAATTTTCCTTGTCTTAATGGGGGTAATATTTCAATTATATATATATATAATTTGTTTCTAAGTTTTATTTTTTAGGAACATGTATTCGAACGAACGAAGAACCTTATGGTGGTTGTAGTTGTCCAAGTGAATTTTCAGGTCCAACATGTAGTAATGATCCATGTAATCCATCTCCATGTTTAAATGGGGGATACTGTATACGAAAACCTGATAATCAATTTTATTGTCAATGTCGTAATCGAAATAAAGGAATTTATTGTGAACGTAAGTTTATCTTATGTATAAAACAAAACAAAAAAAAAACAGTCATCTTCATTTTCTATGTTTTAATTATTTTTTTAGAGGTTGAATGTTTTCCATCAGACGCTACTGTTGATGTACTTCAAATTGGTAAAGTTTCATTATCATCTTTACAAATTGGTGCACAAGTTCGAATTATAAATGAAGAAAATCAAATTAGTTATTCACCAATAATTGCATTTCTTCATCGAGAACTTAATGAACATGCTTTATATAAACGTATTCGTACAAAGAATTCAATTATTGAATTATCAAAACGTCATTTAATTCATCAACGTAAAGATGGTTTTATTTGGGCTGAAAAATTAATTAAAGGTGATGAAATACTTGTTGCATCATCAACTCATGAAAATGAAACTCAATGGGAAGAAATTATCGATATAACTGATGTTCATAAACAAGGTCTTATGGCTCCACTAACTGAACAAGGTACAATTATAGTTAATAATGTTCATGCATCATGTTATGCTCTTGTTCAATCTCACAAAGTAGCTCATTTTGCATTAGCACCTTATCGATTTTATCATCGATTATTTGGTCAAGTGTCTGATGCAAATTCAATGACAACATCAATTCTTTCCTATGCTAATGTACTTCTTCATTTTTTCAAAAATTTACCTATTGCTAAAGAACTTATTTTTTGATCTATTCAATAATATGTAGGCAGATAGCTACAACAGATAAAAAAAGACAAATGAGTAGTCGTAGACATTACTTGGCGTTAATCATTTTTTTTTTTTTGTTATATTATATTGTCTTCATTTTTTGTTTTGATTAGTTAAAACCAATCATTTTGATATTTCGAGAATAAAGTTTATAACTTTAATCAGACTTGTATTGATTATATATGCATTTATGCCTATGTCGACATGCATCAATTACATTTTTTTAGATGTGTACTAACAAATGAAATAAATCATTATTGATTAAGACTCGATTTTTCATTAAGTAGTAATCATTGGAACGAAGAAATATGAAGTGACAATGATCAGCAATGAATAAGTATACTTATTAAGAAGACAACATAGATCATAGTTTCATGGTTATTAAGTGTATTCGAACCAAATGGATATGATTTTATCTGAGCAAATCTATTGCAGATTCATTATAGTTCTTTTACATTTTGAGTAGATATATTGTAATAAGGAGTTTTTTTTAATCTAAAATATGACCAGGTCTCTGAACATAGAGCGAAGTTTAATTTAGAAATTCTGTCGAGTTCTTTATAGATTAGTTTTGTTGCCGACTATTTGCCCAACTTTGAAGTAATCCGATTCAACAGGGTGTAGGTAAAATAGAGATTTCATCCTCAAGCACACTTCATCTCTAATTATAGTTGAAATCAAGATTCTTCTTTGACTTTTTTGACTAGTTTAATATGAAAGGCCTTACTTCAGTGATTATTGTAATTGATTTGAAAATGTATCGTTGGCTTTGACTGTGTGAGTGTCGATGAAATGTTGAAAAAGTTGATTTCTTTTCAAATTCGAAATAGGCAGTTATTCGTATTAGTGTATTTATGAAGCAATGTCTCACAAAAATTATTTTGAAATACCATATACTTGCCAAGAAAATTGATTTTGTTTTTGGAGTCAGACTTTCGTTCCATATTATCTCTTTGAAGAAGATTATCTATCTAGAATATCATCAAAAAAATAATTATTGGTATATTGATGTTGAAAAAAAATTAGTGGCGCATATGATTAAAAAAAAACTAAAATTAAATATGTATGAAAAGTTCGTCCTCAGTATTTCATTAGTACTTTCAAGTACTGAGGTCGCGTTTTTCCTTTTAAGAACGAACCTTGTTGTATATACGTATATTGAATAGCGAGCAGTAATTTTTAAATACTATAGACAATTTAATTAAGTCTCTGCTTCTTTTCCCAATAAAATATTTTCATCAATATCATGACACAAATCAGATAATTGATCAATAAGTTTTTTAGTTTGCGCCATACTTTCTTGTGCATGAAGTCGCGCAGCACCATTTTGTTTTGAACGACGAAAAAAAATTGTTCGTTCTATGCTTTGTGCGAGAATCAAATTGGATAAATCTAAATAAATATCATTCAACGATTGATATTTGTTTTCACCATCTTCATTATAGATATATAACTTATGTACTCTTGTTTCAATATCCGATGGTAAAGATCTAATTAGATGATCTGGTGCCACTAAAATAAGAGATTTCCTAGCATCAACCATTTCACATAAACTAGTCATGAATGATGGAGCATTCTGAAATTGATAAACTTTTGAATCGACAATAGAACGAAATTTATCAGCTTCCTTCGGATTTGAATGGATTAACGCAAATTTCCATTTTTCAGCATGTATTAATGAACTCATTTGAAGTGCGAGAGGAAAATAATCTAAAAAGCAAAAAATTAAATGTTTTGGAATCAAGATTATATGAGCAAAATCAACACCACACAACACAATAGGAATCAGAGACCGAAACGGGGCGGGGCGGGGAGAGGTAGCGACGGAGTGGAACGGGGCGGGGCGAGGCGGAGCGGGGTTAAGTTAAATCCCCGAAGTTTCACCGTGTTTAAGTGGCACAATAGAGTGTAAGTGCGTGTAAATCCTTTCTTCACTCACACTCTAAAATCTCTCGAACTATTGATGGATAATGAAGTAATTTTAAAAAACCTACAATAATAAGAACAGTTGAAGTTGATATTTATACCGATTTCAAAGGAGATAAAGACAATGATTATTTAAGTTCATTATCATTTTGGTAAAAACATGAAAAACTTTTTCCAAATTTATCGAAATTAGCATGATGCATTTACTCAATACCATCCAATTAGAGCCCTGCGGTTCTGTAAAAAATGGAACGGAGAACTGAGTTGGAGTCGTAGAAACCGAAGATTTTAACTGATAACCAGAGACCTGTTTAAATACTTACATAATCTGAAGTCGGAGAGACCAATCTATGATTTCACCAGCAGCAAAAATACGTATTGCTTGCGATTGGATGGAAAGAGAAGTTAGAAATAGCTAAAAATGTGATTAAGACCCTTGAAGAAATTCAGCGTCGTCAATAAATCATTGTTGCAGAACAGGCATGTTTCGATAATCTGATGTGCTCTTTCATTAACATAATGATTTTAAACCGTGTCCTTCTTAAAAGCGAGGATTTCGCTATCAACGATGATTTTACTTCTAAAAAAGTCGTCTTTTCTTACAACTGTT